ATGAAGAAAAAAAAAAAAGGCAGGGAGAAGTATTTAAATGGTTTGACAGATAAGAAAAGAATTTTCTACGGCTATGTAGCCACTAATAAGCTGCACAAGGAAGAAGCCAAGCTCAGCTAATTATAGGATGAAACTGCATAATAAAATCTATAATTAGATGATCCTCTAATCTTCAGTAATGTCACTCAGGACTATTCTGCTAGTCCTACTGGACTTGACTCAACAGTCTACCCCTACAGTATCCTGTAGTTTATTATTGACAGGCTCTTTTGCAGGGCAGGCTAGTCCCCGGTTGAAGCCCCAGGATGAGAACCCAGAAGTGTTTTTGCTTTTGGCCAAAGTGACTCAAAATAAGTTCCTATTGTGATGCTGCTGGATTTCCTTTCTTCAGTCCCAAATCTCAGCTGAGAGGCTCCAACCAGCTGGAAAATTTTACACTGACCTTTAGTCTCCTTGCTAATTTGGTGGAATGGTAATGACATTACTACATATTCAAACAAAATTGTCTTAATTGCAAATTAGCCAGAGGACGCTGAAAATTTTCAAATTAAATCTGATTGGAGATGGAGAGAGGGAAATGGAATTTCTTCACTAACAATCATTTGTGGCATGTGTTAACAAATATAATGAAATGTCAAGTTTGCCAATTCCTTTGGAAGTATCATTTTCAATTTATGATTACAGTGTCACTTATGGTTGATATACCCTAGAAAGAGGATGTCAGAGTGGGGAGAAGAAAAGAAAGAAGGTGAAAATATATGCAAGCTGTTTAACAGTGTGCCCTTCATTACACCCCCAGCAAGAAAAGCCTTGTTACTCATTATCAAAAATGCATATTAACTCTGTCATATTTACCATACATCTTTTGTCATAAATAGCATCCAATTAGCAAAATGGATAATCATGACAGTAACCCCCCCAAATGATTTCTGCCTTATCCTTGGTTGATACCAATCAAAGCTACAATAGTTTTCTACAGTATATTTCAATATGCAGAACTTAATAATGGCTTGTTGAAATTATAGGAAGAGCACTATCTGTAGGGATATTATGCATTATCTAGCACTAAAATGAATAGAAGTTGGGCAGTAAGTGTGCCTTGATTGATTAAACAGAGATGACTTGGTTTTTATTCCTAATCTAGTAACAACCTGCTTTTCAGGACCCAAATACATTTAAGATAGACTGCTTTTCAACGGCATGCAGCACTGATTGATCTTTCTTTGTGGATTTGTTTTACACATCTAGTCAGTAGAGAGATTTGTTAGGGAAACAAAAATTAACATATGCCAGCTAATTGTTTGGCTTTCTTGGGCAGCAGCCAGCAAAAGAGCATTAGCAGTATAATAATAACGACTGGTGCCCTCAAGGCATCCCTGAGTGCATCTGTTCCTTATAAGTCACAAACTGTTTTTCTTTGTTAAGTACATATGGGGTGGAAGGAGGGAGGAAAATATAATGATTTTGCTCAATGCTGTCTTCAATATAGTGATGAAATGCCCAAAAGGTACAAAAGTATCTTTGATTTTGTGTAAGTTATAAATTGAAGCAATATCGATTGTTCGATATGCTACTACATATCAAAGTAGTAGTATACTACATATACTACTACAAATTCTAAACTGACATGTCAATAGTATATTTTATTTCATTACACACACACACACACACACACACACATTAAATTGATATCCTGCTATTTCCCACCCCAATTTTTTTTTTATCACAATGAAAATAAAATAAAGTTCTATGAGAAGATTGTACGTGCTGCAACATTATTGATAAAACACAGACAGGTTTGGAAATGCTAGGGTTAGTATGTATGTCAACCTTTATGTTTACAGCGTTATGGTAAATTATTCTTCTAGGCAGCAATAATAAGCATGACATGTTTGTAGGCATGGAATCGTGAGCTGATAAAATAGAATTTATTATTAACTAAAGAAAAGCATGTAAAACGTAGGATGATCACTCAGCTCATCTGAATATATTCAAGGTTGGGTGAAACTCATTATTCAGGACTCACAGCCATGATAACTTTGATTTTCATCCATCCATAGCATGGCCAAAAGGTACCATTTAATGAAGTACCATTCAGAGAGTAAATGGGGTCATATAATACACACTGTGGTTGCACCTTGTGTTCGTGTACTGATAGCTGTTTAGAGTGTAATGATGAACCAACAGAGCTCATTTTTCCTTGGTAATAAATTCACGCTATTAATAGTTATCAAATGTGTGGGCCATCTTAACTGAATCACTGCACGAGACCATAATTCTCTACTATCATATCAATTTTGAAGCTTCTTTTGTACAGTGTACATTTTAGGGGTTATTTTTGGTGGTATTTACCACTCTTCTCTCAAACTAATTTGAAGACAGTATTAGTTCACTATTTCAGATATTTCTAGTTCCAAAGGGAACTTTAAACTGTGCTTTCACTTTAAATTGCTAATCTAAGATTCTGTACTAATTGCCCATCATCAAATGCAATTAGCAATTCTTTCATGTGTGGTTTATGTAATGTAATACTTCAATTACATTATTCATTCAGGTTCTGTTTTGGATTATAGGCTGAAAATTCTTTATTAGTGTAGATGTAACCATGCTGCTGGAGTTTTAAAAAATTTACTGATTGAATAATTAATTGGAAAAGAACAAGCTGCAGATTTCTGATGGATTTATGAGACAATTACTCTGTCATGTGGATATCTATCTTACACTATAGAAAACAGTAGAAAAATAAATTTATTGTAATGAGACAGTCAAAACAGTAAATATGGGATAGTTCTAAAATTTGTAATGAATTCACTCATTGACATTAAAACAATTCTATGATGCAAAAATATTTTCCACGCATTTTCTACACTATTAAGAAATATTTGGGAGCCAAGTGAACATACTAAAAACTAACAAAAACAGTCATTTGAAAAAAATGAAAAAGCGGACATATTTAGTACTGTAGCGCAAACTTATACTTAAGGCAATAAACAGTTAATTATGGAAAACAACACAAATGTTGAAGATTTACATCCATACAGTATATAAAAATGATACTAATCACTGAAAACTCAGAGGGGCAACTACCAAGTTATAAATCACAGAGCAATCAGTTTGGGAGGTGAAAAAGTCCAAAGAATCACTAGATGGCAGAAAAGAGATGCAGAAAATGTTAATTCAGATTACTGTTGGTGGTCCTGATTTCTGCTCTCCATATCTGATAATCCTAAGGATATGCTTTGAAACAAAGTATTTGAAATATGCAGTTTTGTGGAAAAAAAATTACAAACATCTCTTCCATTGTTTTAAGGAATATTTAGGAGGCTATGATATACATTGTATAAATTGTATGCTGTTTTTCTCTATTTTTTTTCAAAGATTATTGGCTACATAGAACATTGAATCATAAGACTGGAAGGGACATCTTTTTTTGTATCGTGGTGACCAGAAATGGACAAAGTATTCCAATGTGGTCTCACTAGAATTAATTTTTATCAAATTATATGAAGCAAGCAGTGTAGCCTGACATACACCGAGATGTATATATAACTTGCAAATATATTTTAGAAGGCTATGGAAAAAGGCTCCATATTTTATTCCATTATCAGTTCTAATTCAGAAACAGACAGTGATATATCAGTAACTCACACCTTTATCAAAAGTGGAGTAGATACCCACTGTAGCATTGCTGATATCAGATGAACAATTTGCTTCTCTTCAATGACAAAAATATTACAAAACGCAATGTCTTTTCTGATGGATATTTTAAATGACAGGGTAAACTACAGCATCAACCCATGTACTTATATAGCCTTGTGTTAGGCTACTATTTCTTTACTACTTCTGTGTCAGCTGAACTTCAGGTATTTCAAAACAGCTTTCTTTTTAATATTTGTGAGTCTATTTCAAAAATGATATTTTTTCTAGCTTCAGCAGAAAGGGAGTGATTTGTGCACTTACAGGTGTGCTTGTTTAGTGTCCCCTATGGCACAGATTGGACAGATTTTGTAAAAGATAGCATTACTTTTAAAGAAACATGCAATTTGACAAGCAATTGCATTTTTCCTTCATTTTATTGCCATATTTTTCATCACACTTATTGTTTTCCAACTGTCAGTAAATTGCTCATTTTCTTAGTCTATTACATTTGTAGACCTATTTACTGTTTATAAAGCAATATGCACTTACAGGTTTTGGAGATGGCTTGGGCTCTGAAGGTCGCATGTGCAAGTGGGTCATCATTGCCTGAAGACGTTCACGTTCTTTAGAAAGCTGTTAAAGAAAGAGTGAGATCAGAAGCATTTTAGAAATGACTAATAACAGCTATTTTATTTCATGTGATACATCTTATCTTGGAGACTGTTATGGAGTAATGTTCCTGCATATCAAAGCCTATGTCAAAGCCTATGTGAAAACTTTTAGAGAGAGAGAGAGAGGGAACTTGGATTTTCAGGAGTGGAGGGAGAGAAAAAAGAAAGCTGTATAACTTTTGTCATATTTAAAAGGTCAGAGAAAACAAATAATACTTCATCTTTTTGTCAATAAGAGAATTGAGGTCATTACTGACTCAACAGTAGCAAGTTACTAGGTCTGTAAATTAGATGGCCCATAGTGTCTCTTTACAGTCCTATGGACACTATTAGCAATGGGCTAGCGCCAACAGAGGTGAAGGGTCCTCATAGCATGGTACCTGCCAAGACTGTCTATACTTTTCATCCATTCCCATGAGGTTAAGTTAGTGCCCCCTGCAATCTACCATAATTAATCTAAGTCAATAGAGTGACAGGGACTAGGCAGTGTGAAATGTTGAACTCTGCCACTAAACTGACATCAACAATGTTCTAGATCTCATTACAATGGGTGGACCTTACATTTCTATAGTCATACAAAAAAGGGAGGAGGGAAAAACTCATAATTGGTCACTCTGAAAGTAGAAAGTCCATTGAGACTTTTATATTACAACATAATATTTGTAAATATAAATTGCACCTCAAAGAAAG